ACGGCTAGCGCAGATAGCCCCTCGTGTAGCTTTGCGCGAAATTCAAAACAAACAAACAAACAAAAAATTGGGAAGCTTTAAGGTTCACAGAATTAAAACTAACGTACGTAAAACATCAGGAGCGTCTTATATTTGTATTGAATGATTTACATAAAACAAAACAGAAGGTTATATAAGATTATTTTATACGATGTATATGTAATTTGAACGTATTTGTATTTTGAATGTATTAAGTGATCATGTTAGAGATGAAACGTTTTTTCTAAATGCATGTATGATCCCAATCAAAAGTTGTTTCAAGAAATGTATATATATGTATATATTCGACAGTTAAATAGTATTTCTTAATTAAAAGGGAAATATCTGCCTAATTGTTAGTTTCCATAACCATTAAGCAGAAGTAATGAACAGAGAATTTTCTAGCCCACTTTACAACACAAGTAACTTTTGAATTAAATTCGAACATTGACTATTGTAATACTGGATTTATTTCAGCATAGCTATATCAAGTTATATATATATCACATATCTAGAAAACAGTGTTCGTATAATACCATACAATCTTTTTTTAACCGTACCTTAACTGATGAAACAGACCTCTGAAGCATTAGTTTTTCGGTCAGTTTGCAAAACTTGTGTTATTCGACTAATAATTTTTATTTACAGTTAGTCAAGCATACCAACGTCCTCTTATTTCTAAAGTTATTAGGTTTTTTGCAGTTGTTGAAAGAATAAGAATTAACAATGTAACAATTATATTTTCGGAATCATTAAATAAATTGATATTATTTTGCAGAGGCCTGCATCTATGTAATCGGTGGTATTAGCAGTCAGGAGTGGGGACCAATTTCTAAAACTGAAGTCTTCATGGTGGACGATGACAGTGTTCGAAAGGGAAAAAAGCTTCCTACACCTCTAACTGGTATTTCAGCAGTTGCTATACCTCCAATAGAATCTGTCTTGCGAACAGAAAGTCTTACTTGTATGATTCGACAAAAAATCATACATTGATTTGTATTAAGTCCTACCACGGGTTAGGTTACACAGCTGAGACAAAAAACGAGATCGTTTTTGGGTTTTATTGAAAAGTACTAAGTGCGAAAGAATATCTCTAAACTGACATTATTAAAAATTGAAACAGAAAGACTTTAATTTTTGATCAATAAATATATGTTTATGTAACATATTTTCTTAATTATTGTAGTAAATAATTACTTTATTAAAATCCAGCTCGTTTAAGGTAAGTAAATTATATGTTTACTGAAACTTGAACACTTCGGATGAAATTCGGGTTCTATTTATCTGGATATGTGTGGACTCTTCAGCTTGTCTTATTTAGTTTATTTGTTTCTTTTTTGTAAATATTGGGTACCAATACTAATATTGGCAACTTTTCTATCTGAACTTGTCATGGTCATCTAAAAAATTGAGATCCATTTCTTATCTTAAGAAAAACGACTTCTGAAAAATGGAGTGACAAACAACTTGAAGAGAAGGAATTGTTAAAATACCAACTGTAAGTGATTGAAACTGGTTATAAAAAAACCTTAAATCACGATTGCAACAACATTAAAATCAATAGACCTAAAGAGAGAGAGTAAGAAACTGGAATGAGAGTTATTTGATAAATGTATAGTGATGTTCTTTCATAAATACGTAAAGTCTGCTATGATGAAGCTTGTCAAAATGTTTAATGTAAGTCACCTCAAGAAATAAAGAATGCGATATATTTAAAGTAATTCGAATGAGAAATAAAACTAGTGGAGTGTGTGTTTATTGCAGGCTAAATGTACTGCTATACAGTGTTACTATAGCATATTCTTATTTTCAGGGCAATTGAAGTTTTGAGCACGGATTGGCCATATGGCAAAGTTCTGGATTTCAAAGCTGGCGAGCCGAGTCCGGGTTTGTGCGATATCACAAAATATATTTGGCCCGGCATGGCCAGGTGGTTACGGTGCTCGACTCGCAATCTGCGGGTCGCGGGTTCGAATT